GTTTGGCCTAAAAAGATACTTACGATTGATAAAAGCACCAAATATTGCGTGGATTCCAACGATGCCCGTATAGAATGTGGAGAGTAATACAAGGCACAATGTAACGGCCATCATGATCATGTTGAATCCATTTTCAATACCCATTTCTGGCGATAAGCTTTAACAATATGGAACGTATAATAATATACAAGTAATAGCGTATTAAGATTATTTGATAAGTAATAATGGAAACCATCAACGCAAACAGTATCCACGCAGCTACGTCATCACCAACACCGGCAGTAATAGCGATAAAGCCTACTGGTGTGCATAAAAGTTGGAGTTCTGATAGGTCTGTCCATTAAAGAACACGAGTAATTATATTATTGTGTTATCATACAAGACGAATAAATAAAAATACCGTGATAGACATAGTCATTCCGTCATTATTCAAACTTTTGTATAATTCATAACCGATACCGTGATTTCAGCAGCAGAAATTGTCAAGGCAAGTTCACGTTCTTTAAGAAAAAAAAATCTGGAAAGTTTGCGGTCTGAAATTCCGGGATGCGATGGACCGAGTAGATGCGTAACTACATCAATGATAATATCCTTTTCAAAAGATCATTGATTTTAGTATGCGTCTATTTTTTCTGTTTTACTTCGGAAGAGCAAAAAGGTATCCCTAATTGGAAACTTACACAAATAACGCCTTGGATATACAGTAATTTTGAATTAGTAAGGCGATGAAATTTCCCGAGATTATTTTATTGGGACAAGATTCCATGGACGTGTCCAAATATAGATGTTTTCTCGTCTCAGTATAATTTCGAAAATCAACCTCGAATAACAATATGTCGTTTGTGTAAACAGTTGGTAATGTTATATGGTGATGTGATTTGGTTGGAAGTGTGTTGGAACAGAACTTAGATATCACTCATCTGAATGTCGGAATTTCTATATGGGTAATTCTTTTTGAAGGCGGACAGGGATTTTTCTGACTTTATAATTGTACTCCTAGAATTTATATTGTAT